GGGTGACAGAGTGAGACTCCCTCTCGAAAGAAAGAAAGAAAGAAAGAAAGAAAGAAAGAAAGAAAGAAAGAAAGAAAGAAAGAGGAGAAAGAGTAAACTCAAGTAGCCATTTCAACAAAATAAAAAATCAATAAAGTCATGCAGAACAGCTTGGATCCGTAATAGATCTCTGAGTCTGGCTTTAGAAATACACAGTGTGTTAACAACAAAAAGAGAAAACAGGCTGGCGCAGTGGCTCACATCTGTAATCCCAGCACTGTGGGAGGCCAAGGCGAGTGGATCACCTGAGGTCAGGAGTTTGAGACCAGCCTGACCAACATGACGGAATGCCGTCTCTCCTAAAAACACAAAACTTAGCTGTGTGTGGTGGTGGGCACCTGTAATCCCAGCTACTTGGGAGGCTGAGGCAGTAAGACCACTTGAACCTGGGAGGCGGAGGTTGCAGTGAGCCCAGATCGTGTCTCTGCACTCCAGCCTGGGTGACAGAGGGAGCCTCTGTCTCAGAAACAAAAACGAAAATCCCAAGAAAACACTGTGGTTTTCTGAGGACATATTTGTTCTCAGCTCTTCATTGTCTTACGGCTCAAAATGCTGACACGTGTGACCTAGGCCAAGCTAAGGTTTCTACACTTTCACTATTTACATATCCTTTAGAACTAAAGTCAAATGTCAAATCACAAGGTATGGGTAAAGTCTGGGCTTGGAAACAAGTGGACCTGGGTTCAAATCCAGCTTTGTGTGAGCTGCACCAAACTATTCACCTTTATGTGTCTCGGTAAATTGTGAATATAAAGATATACATTCCTGGCAAAGGAATGGTAAAGTCTTTACCAGACTAAGAAATACATTAAAGATAATAAAGGCATTTTTTGGTGGGCACTGAATGAGATATTGTATGTAATATGCTCGGCACATAAATGTTAACTTTCTTCTTTCATCCATGTAAGAACTGAAAGGACTTCACAACTGAGGCTCTGAGTGATGTCAGTCAAGCGAACACATTTGTTGAATTTGTTTGAATTGGCTTTCTCAGGAATGAAATTCTCCATCACTCTTGTGGACAGAGTTCATTGTGCCCCATGCACACAGCTGGCAGTACTTCTCCCCTTGGTGATCCTGGCACATTTTCATCTGTCCTAAAAAGCAGAAACACCACTCAGAAACAAGAACAGAAAACCGCCCTGCAGAGTCCTGCCAGCTGTGAGCTTGGAGGAGGCCACAGAGCTGCTCTCACAGATCTCACATGACACTCACGAAAGGATTTCCAGGGAGGGGCAGAACCACTATTACAAGACAGAAGAGGAGAGAGAAGGGTGGGGAGAGTATGTGGTGGGGAATGTTCAGCAAAGTTGTCAGCAGGAAAACAAAAGCTGACAGTAACCTAAAGCTCAGGAAGGAGGTATCTTTTCTCAAGAAACTGCAAAACAGGCTGGGCACAGTGGCTCACGCCTGTAATCCCAGCACTTTGGGAGGCTGAGGCAGGTGAATCACCTGAGGTCTCGAGTTTGAGATCAGCCTGACCAACATGGAGAAACCCCATCTCTACTAAAAATACAAAATTAGGCCGGGCGCGGTGGCTCATGCCTGTAATCCCAGCACTTTGGGAGGCTGAGGCAGGCAGATCACGTGGTCAAGAGATCAAGACCATCCTGGCCAACATGGTGAAACTCTGTCTCTACTAAAAAATACAAAAATTAGCTGGGCATGGTGGTGTGTGCCTGTAGTCCCAGCTACTAGGGAAGCTGAGGCAGGAGAATTGCTTGAACCCGGGAGGCGGAGGTTGCAGTGAGCCGAGATTGCGCCATTGTACTCCATCCAGCCGGGCGCCCGGTGGCAGAGCAAGACTCTGTCTCAAAAAAAAAAAAAGAAAAAGAAAATTAGCTAGGCATGGTGGCGCATGCCTGTAATCCCAGCTACTCAGGAGGCTGAGGCAGGAGAATAGCTTGAACCCAGGAGGCGGAGGCTGCTGTGAGCCAAGATCTTGCCATTGCACTCCAGACTGGGCAACAAGAGCAAAACTGTCTCAAAGAAAGAAATTGCAAAACAAAAACCTTTAAAGGATCAATTTTTTTCACATTGTATGTACAAACCTTATTTACTTTCAGATTGTTTTTTACTGTTTATATAGCATGTTGATTGATGACTGATATATTTTTCTATTTGTGAAGAGTTTTGGGGAAGTCTAAAGTTAAGATGGATTACATCATAATTTCTCTTATTAAAACACTAAATTTTAAGTCTGGTGCAGTGGCTTATGCCTGTAATCCCAGCACTTTGGGAGGCTGAGGCAGTCAGATCAGGAGGTTAAATCAAGACCATTCTAGCCAACATTGTGAAACCCTGTCTCTACTAAACATAAAAAAAAAAAATTAAAATACTAAATTTTAAGCTAGACGCAGGTGCACCTATAGTACCAGCTACTTAGAAAGCTGAGGCAGAGATTCCTTGAGATCAGGAGTTCAAAGCCAGCCTGGGCAACAAATATACTGATATCTCATCTCTAAAAATAAGTAAATAAATAAAATAAAACACTGAATTAAAAATAAACATTTTGTTATTGTTTTTAGAGTCTCTCTCTGTCACCCAGGCTGGAGTGCAGTGGTGCAATCTCAGCTCACTATAATCTCTGTCTCTGGGTTCAAGTGCTTCTCCTGCCTCAGCCTCCCAAGTAGCTGGGACTACAGACCCATGCCACCATGCTCGGCTAATTTTTGTGTATTTTTTTTAATTTTTATTTTATTTTTTTATTATTTTTTTTACAGTGCAGAGGTCTTTTTTTTTTTTTTTTTTTTTTTTTTTTTTTTTTTTTTTTTTTTTGAGACGGAGTTTTGCTCTTGTTACCCAGGCTGGAGTGCAATGGCGCGATCTCGGCTCACCGCAACCTCCGCCTCCTGGGTTCAGGCAATTCTCCTGCCTCAGCCTCCAGAGTAGCTGGGATTACAGGCACACGCCACCATGCCCAGCTAATTTTTTGTATTTTTAGTAGAGACGGGGTTTCACCATGTTGACTAGGTTGGTCTCGATCTCTCGACCTTGTGATCCACCCACCTCGGCCTCCCAAAGTGCTGGGATTACAGGCTTGAGCCACCGCGCCCGGCCTGAGGTCTTTTTTTTTTTTTTTTTTTTTTAACACCTATTATGCCATGAATTCATAGGAAATAGGGTCCAGCAGCTCAGGCTCCTTTCCATTGGTTCTCACAAAGCGGGCTTCTCTGGGTGGAGCAGGCTGGCACTTCAGCTGAACCCAGGCAACTTTCTCTTTTGCTTCTTTCTTTTTCTGATCATTTTCCTTCACACGTTTTAGGAAGCTGTCTCGGCTCTTAGAGTGCTTGATGTGCTCAATACGCACATTAATTCTCTTGGCAAGAATCTTGCCCTTAACTTGTTTACAACAATGCCAACAGCATGCTGGGTATCGTTGCAGACTCTTCCAGTTTTGCCATGATAACATTTGTGGGGCATTCCTTTTTGAACAGTACCCATTCTCTTGATGTCTACAATATCACTTTTCTTTTTTTGTTTTTGTTTTTATTTTTATTTTGTTTTACGATATCACCTTTCTTATAGATTCGCATATACATGGCCAAAGGAACAACTCCATGTTTTCTATAAGGCCTAGGGAAAATATGTCGAGTGCCTCTCCTCTTTCCCTTTGTGTTCGTCATTTTGGCGAATTACTGGAAGATGGCAGTTCCGGCCGAAAGGACTGTATTTTTATTAAAGATGGGGGTTTCACCATGTTGGCCAGGCTGGTCTCGAACTCCTGACATCAAGAGATCTGCCCTCCTCGATCTTCCAAAGTACTGAGATTACAGGCATGAGCCACTGGCTCCGCTTAAAAACCTATTTTGTTTTTATTTAATGCAAAACAAACAAAATTTATTGCACCTTTGTTCCCGTGTTAAAAGGGTTTTTTTGTTTGTTTGTTTTTAAGATAAAGGGTTTTCCTCCGTGGCCCAGACTGTCAGTGGCTGTTCACAGGTGCAGTCATGGCTCACTGCAGCCTCTAACTCCTGGGCTCAAGCAAACCCCATCTCAGCCTCCTGAGTAGCTGGGACCACCAGCACGTGTCACCACACTGGGGAAAGGCCAATTTTTAAGTTAGTTTAACTGATCTGTGCTCCCACAGCCACCAGAACACTTCTAAGTTTCTATTTACTGGCTTATTCTAGCAATATAAAAATGGCAGGCCTGCCACATCAGGATCAAAGGTAATTAGTATTAAAGTTAGTCATTTGTAGCAATTATCTAATTAATATCCATCCAGAGTTCCAAAACACAGTGGAAGAGGCTTAGCAGAGATACCAACATCCACTGGATCTCGGCCTGCCACCGCCCCCCACTCCCTGATGGCTCTGTCCCTTAGCCTTCTACCCATCCAGCGGGTGGCTCTTCACAGCTCCCGGTGCCCGCCAGGGACCTCAGTCGCCGAAGCCTTCCCCTGGGCTGTTCCTGGCTTCGCTCCAGCCGTCCTCCCCAAAGCGCCGTCTGACTTCTCAGCCAGGCCCTCAGCGTTTGTAGCGTCAGGCAGGGGTAAGAACCGCGGGGGAAATAGCGGGTGAAAGGATGCTAGTGGGAGAGGGAGGGGACTGCAATTTTAGATAAAGTCACCGGGGAAACCTCTCCCATGGAAAACACTGGAGCGGAACCCTGCGGGAAGAGAGCGACCCACGCCCTATCTGGAGAAAAACGGTGCAGACGCAGGTTAGTGGGGTGATCCCTTGCTCTGTATCTTTCTCACCTGCGCATCGGGGTCCAAGGGTCAGAAAACAAAGAAAGAAATTATGCAAGAAAGGAAGCACCCTTTCCAGCGCCGTCCCGGGCCCCGGCCCCGCCCCCTCAGGCCCCGGCCCCGCCCCCTCAGGCCCGCTTCCCCGGGGCCCCGCCCCTTGCCTGACGTTCCATCGGCTCCGCCCTAATCCGCTCCGCCCCGCTCCTCTGACGGGGTGGCCCCGCCCCTAGGATCATGACTCCGCCCCCTCTGCCTCGTAGTTACGAAGCTGAGCATCCACGATAGGACTGAGTCGGAGACCTCGTTTCCTGATTGGCCGTGTTGCACGGCGGCTTCTCCTGCGGCTGGTAACCCGGAAGTGATGCCTAAAGCTGCGCACCGCGTGGTCTCGCCTCCTTGGGAGTAGGTTTCGGCGGCCGCTGCGATGACCAAAATAAAGGCAGATCCCGACGGGCCCGAGGCTCAGGCGGAGGCGTGCTCCGGGGAGCGCACCTACCAGGAGCTGCTGGTCAACCAAAACCCCATCGCGCAGCCCCTGGCTTCTCGTCGCCTCACGCGGAAGCTCTACAAATGCATCAAGAAAGGTGAGGCGGGCGCCGAGGTGGCCCGGGTGGGGGCGCGGGTGGCGTGGAGAGGCCCCCGACCTACTCTTCTGTCGTTGCAGCCGTGAAGCAGAAGCAGATTCGGCGCGGGGTGAAAGAGGTTCAGAAATTTGTCAACAAAGGAGAAAAAGGGTAAGAACCCTCTTTCCTCTAGATTTTGCATTTCTTAAACGCTAACGGAGAAATCCCTACGTAGTAGGTGCGCAGTAAAATGTTGACTCTGACCTAGCCCCATGTACAGAAGCCAGTTAAGCAGTCAGTAAAGCCCCTTTAGTACAATACCGACACGAGCTTAAAGTGAATTCCAGGGTGAAGCGAACTGTGTAAACCAGGTTCCTTAGACCCAGCTTCATTCATTCAGGGACCCTCCTCCCCAGGCTCCGCTTCTTCCTCAGATTACCTCGGGCCCTCGCCCTAATCCGCCCAGCCTTGACTCTGTCCTAGGGGTGGCCCCTCTCCAACTCTGTACTTAAGGGGCTGAATATTAATGTTTTTGTTTGTGTTTGAGACAGGGTCTAGCTCTCACCTAGGCAGGAGTGCAGTGGCGCAATCACAGCTCACTGCAGCCTCGTCCTCCTGGGCTCAAGCGATCCTCCCACCTCAGCCTCCCGAGTGCCTGGGACCACAGGCTTGCGCCACTACGCCTGGCTAATTGTTGTTGTTTTGCGGAGACAGAGGAGTCTTGTCATGTTGCTCAGGCTTGTCTTGAACTCCTGGGCTCAAGAGATCTTCCTGCCTCAGCCTCAAGAAGCAGTGGGATTACAGACGTGAGCCACCACACCTGGCAGCCCTAATGACTGAGTGTGTACTCTTTTTCAGGCACCGTGCTATGGGAGAAACAATGACATTCATTGATCAGATAATCACACACACAAATAATTACACGTTGTGATAACCATGAAGGAAAATAACAGAATGCAGTGAGAATCGTTTCATTACCCCACTTTTCTTAATGGCATTTATCAAAATTTGAAGCTTGTTTACATTTTTCTTCCCTGTATCATCCTCTCAGGCCCAATGGTAAGCTCCTTCAGAACAGGGCCTTTCCCTGCTTTATCCCAAGAAGTGAAACTGAAGGTGCTCAAGAGATCAATGATGTTGGGCAGACTTGATGCTTAATGGTGTCTAACCTAGTTGGGAGGGCGCATCAGGGGAAGTTTCTCTCAGTAGTCCCATTTGAGCTGAGATCTTAAGACACAGGGATGGCCGGGCGCATGGCTCACGCCTGTTATCTAGAACTTTGGGAGGCCAAGTCAGGTGGATCACTTGAGGTCAGGAGTTCAAGACCAGCCTGGCCAGCATGGTGAAACCCCAGCTCTACTAAACATACAAAAAAAAAAAATTAGCTAGGCATGGTGGTGGGCTTCTGTAATCCCAGTTACTTAGGATGCTGAGGCAGAATAATTGCTTGAACCTGGGAGGCAGAGGTTGCAGTGAGCCAAGATTGCGCCCTTACACTCCAGCCTGGGCAGCAAGAGCGAGATGCTGTCTAAAAAAAAAAAAGAAAAAAAAACACAGGGATTACTTGGATTGGGATGGGAGGATCCTGCCAGAAGAAAGAGTGGGCCTCAGGGCAGGAGGGGGGTCTGGTGAGCCCCCTTCTTGGGGGGCCTTGTAGCCCACAGTAAATTTAGTTTTTGGACTCAGTGCTTTGGAAGCCATTGGGGGTTAAAGCCAGGAAGTGACATAATGTTTATTATTTTTTACACTGTAAGATTTTTCTGACAATTGATGAAAGGATTAGAGAGGTAAGAGTAGGTTTGGGGCCGGGCGCGGTGGCTCAAGCCTGTAATCCCAGCACTTTGGGAGGCCGAGGCAGGCGGATCACAAGGTCAAGAGATCGAGACCATCCTGGTCAACATGGTGAAACCCCGTCTCTACTAAAAATACAAAAATTAGCTGGGCATGGTGGCGCGTGCCTGTAATCCCAGCTACTCAGGAGGCTGAGGCAGGAGAATTGCCTGAACCCAGGAGGTGGAGGTTGCGGTGAGCCGAGATCGCGCCATTGCACTCCAGCCTGGGCAACAAGAGCGAAACTCCGTCTCAAAAAAAAAAAAAAAAAAGAGTAGGTTTGGGGCCGGGCGCAGTGGCTCAAGCCTGTAATCCCAGCACTTTGGGAGGCCGAGGCGGGTGGATCACAAGGTCGAGAGATCGAGACCATCCTGGTCAACATGGTGAAACCCCGTCTCTCCTAAAAATACAAAAAATTAGCTGGGCATGGTGGCGCGTGCCTATAATCCCAGCTACTCAGGAGGCTGAGGCAGGAGAATTGCCTGAACCCAGGAGGCGGAGGTTGTGGTGAGCCGAGATCGCGCCATTGCACTCCAGCCTGGGTAACAAGAGTGAAACTCCGTCTCAAAAAAAAAAAAAAGAGTAGGTTTGGGAAGCTTCAGATAGTGGACCGCTGCAGTCCTGGAGAGGTGATGGTGGAGACAGAGTTAAAGGAAATAGACTGGAGAGGACGTTTAGATGTGGAGAATGACAAGGTATCGACGACTTCTAGGTTCTGATGCGCCCAGCTGGAGGGACAGAGGGCCCAGTCTGAGACGTGAACAGTGCAGGGGGACCAGGAAGATCACAAGTTGGCCAAGCACGCTGGTTCATGCATGTAATCCCAGCACTTTGGGAGTCCAAGGTGGGCAGATCAGGAGGTCTGGAGATTGAGACCATTCTGGCCAACATGGTGACACCCCGTCTCTACTAAAAATACAAAAATTAGCCAGTGTGGTGGCGTGCACCTGTAGTCCGAGCTACTTGGGAGGCTGAGGCAGGACAGTCACATGCACCCAGGACGTGGAGGCTACAGTGAGCTGAGATCGTGCCACCACATTCCAGCCTGGTGACAAGAGTGAGACTCCCTCAAAAATAAAGATCACAAGTTTGGTTTTGGATAAGTTTTGGAGGTCCCTTAGAGACACATGACTTCCTCCCCTCCCCCAACCAGGAGAACTGTCAAATAGGCAGATGGCTATAGGGGTTTGGAGCTTGGAAGAGAGAGGGCCAGGCTGGAGATAGTAAGTAGATCTGGGAGTTATCGGCACATTGATGGCACTTGACCCCATGGCAGTGGCTCCCGTCAGCCAGGAAGAAGGTACTGAGGAGAGGGCAGCTGAGGACAAGGCTATGAGGAACTCACAGTTAAAGGCGCTTAACAGAAGCGGAGCTGGTCCTGGTGTGTCTGCCTTTACCCAGCCTGGGAGAGCAGACTTTTCCTTCTGTGTCCTCAGGTTCCTAAGACCCTTGCCCCCAAGTTCGGACACCTGGCCAGCTAGGAACCCTGGCTGAGGAGTCTCTGGGAAGGTTTCATTGCCTCACTGCCGCTCTTGAGACAGAGCCCGCGCTTCTTAGCCTGGTACTCAAGGCCTTGAGGTGTCCCCTGCCAGTCCCTCCAGCTCTCCAGCTGCGTCTGGTGCCATTCGGATTCTCCCACAACATGCTCTCTCCACCCCCAGCCCCTCAATGGGCTCCCTGATACACAGTCGTCATTCAGCTTTCTGTTCAAGTGTCACCTCCTGGTTGAAACCTTTTTTGACTCTCCAAGGAAAGCTGAGCTCTTACTCCTTGACACCCATCTGTACTTCAGCTGTCCCAGCACTACATCATTTCGGTGGCACTTACGTGTTGCCAAGAGGTAGAGATCACCTCCCCAGAAGAATGCACTCACCAAACAATTTTGTCTCTCGACCCCTAAGACCCAGCCCAGGGCAGCACTTACAGCTGAAAGAGAGAAGGAGCAAGCCAGAACAACAGTGGTTTCTCTCATTTCAGGATCATGGTTTTGGCAGGGGACACACTGCCCATTGAGGTATACTGCCATCTCCCAGTCATGTGTGAGGACCGAAATCTGCCCTATGTCTATATCCCCTCTAAGACGGTAAGGAGCACATGGTCCCCTGACCTTGGTCAGCCCTGGGGTGTCTGGGATATTGTCTGCTGTAGCAGCACAGATGGGAAGCCAGGATGGTTGGAGCTGAGACAGGCCTGGATGGATTCTCGGCTCCGTCTTCTCAGTTACGGGACTACAGATAAGTAACCTCTTACATTTCAGTTCTCATCTTTTAAAATGGGAATCCCAGCCCAGGTGCTATGGCTCACACCTGTAATCCTAGTGCTTTGGGAGGCCAAGATGGGAGGCTCAGTTGAGGACAGGAGTTCAGGACTGACCTGCGCAAGAAAGAGAGACTCCATCTCCACAAGAAAATGTTTTTTAGTTAGCGGGGTGTGGTGGCACATGCCCGTACCCCAGCCACTTGGGAGGCTAAAGCCGGAGGATCACTTGAGCCCAGGAGTTCCAAGGCTCCAGTGAGCCATGATCGTACACCACTACACTCCAGACTGCATGATAGAGCGAGGCCCTGTCTCAAAAAAAAAGAAAAAGAGCCGGGCGCGGTGGCTCAAGCCTGTAATCCCAGCACTTTGGGAGGCCGAGGCGGGTGGATCACGAGGTCGAGAGATCGAGACCATCCTGGTCAACATGGTGAAACCCCGTCTCTACTAAAAATACAGAAAACTAGCTGGGCATGGTGGTGCGTGCCTGTAATCCCAGCTACTCAGGAGGCTGAGGCAGGAGAATTGCTTGAACCCAGGAGGCGGAGGTTGCGGTGAGCCAAGATCGTGCCATTGCACTCCAGCCTGGGTAACAAGAGCAAAACTCCAACTCAAAAAAATAAATAAATAAATAAATAAAGAAAAAAGAAAAAGAAAAAAGGCTGGGGCTGGATCCGGAGTACCTGCAGTGTCACTTCTTGGGATAAAGCAGGGAGGCCACCATCCGGCATGATGATAAGAACTGAATTGTCAGTTTTCTGTGGACTCTGAGAATGAAAACAAACAGATGTTTGTGGACGAGCTTTGTAAGCTAAGATGCTTCACCCATGTTAGTCCTGTTAGGTGGGTTTGGGCTCAGAGGGACCTGTTGCTGTCCTTATCTTACATAGCAGAGGCCAGATCTGAAGCACAGCAAGTGGGGGATGGCAGGGGCCTGTGTCTGTGGGCACAACCCCTGCTGGGCTGGAGCCCGTTCATAGTTGCCACGTGGGAATGTAGGCCCTGTGTGGCTGAACCATGGCTTGAAGGTCTGATTGAGTTTAAGTGATGGCAACCAATCCAAGATGCTTTTAAATAGAACGTGGAACCAATAGAACATAGTTGTGGGCCAGATGAGGCTGGTGGGTCATCAGCTGTGACTTCCTGTCATACAGGTTGTACAGCTTTTTTTCCAAACAGCACTTCCTTCCCCTCTGTAGGACCTGGGTGCAGCTGCAGGCTCCAAGCGCCCCACCTGCGTGATAATGGTCAAGCCCCATGAGGAGTACCAGGAGGCCTACGACGAGTGTCTGGAGGAGGTGCAGTCCCTGCCCCTAGCCCTGTGAGGGCCCCGGCAGCACCTGGGCACCTGCCTCTGGAAGCTAATGACTGGCTGTCCTCCTGCCCACACACTGACGGCATCTTCCCAGTTCCCCGAGGCACGCCTTCTTCCCAGGCAGCTCTGACGGCCCTCTCATGAGGTAACGCCAGCCCTCTCTCCATCAGTGCCACGGAACTTAAGGGAAGGCTGTTCCAAACACATTCACGGTTGAGTGTGTGGTGGGCAAAGTAAATGCTAAAACTAAAATGTGGTGAGTCTGTGGGTGTCTTCTTAAGCAGCAGCTGTTGGTGGGGCCAAGGAGTTGGTGGGCAGGAAGAGCGTACCAGTCTCCCTCGCCAGAAGCCTGAAGGCCTCGGGGTTCTGTGCTAATGTTCAGCTGCCTGGCACTGGGTGCTTTGGCTCACGCTGTGAACTGGTCCTGCTACCCACGCCAGTGCTTTCAACTCCCTCTTCCAGGGTAGATGGGGGCTGTGAGATAAGGCAGGGGGCCCAGACCCACTTCATGGAAACCTAAAGCCCCCACATCAGGAAACACCCCCATTCCTACCTTTCCCCCAGGAGCTTTAAATGCCACTGTGAAGCTTACGGAAGCAATTTACATACCCACGCAGTACATTTTAAATAGGAATGTGAAGCTAAAATGTATCCCCCCAGGCCATCTCTCTTGCTTAACGTCATGGTCCTAGTAACCCAGTCCCTTCGGACATTTTAGACTTGGCCCCTTCCTGCTGTCACAGGTCCTGCACAGGACTCAGTCCACATAGTGACCAAGCTTCAGGCACCTGGAATAAACAAAATGGCTTGGGCTGGACGGTTAGACCTAGTTAAACTCCAAGCTCTCTCCTTTCCAGGCCGCGAGCCCTGCTGTGCAAGTTATTTCATTTTCCTGAATCCCGTTACACGGTTTCTCCTACGGAGGTAGTAAGATCTGCTATGTGTGTATGTAAAAGCACCTTGCCCGGGGTCTGACATCTAAGCTCCCCCTGTCAGAGAGGCAAGTTGGTTTCTTTCTGCCTGCACACTTGACACCTGCTGACCATGGTTTTGTCTGCAGCAGCCACCGGGCCATGCCCAGCACCTGTGTGTGGTAGACATGTGGTCATAATTTGTCAGGGAGGTTAAAGGTTGGCCAGGAGAAATGAGAAGGGCAGTGAATATATTTGTTCAAAGTTATAAAACAACGGCATTCCGTTCTAACTGGGACTATTTACAGTGGGAGATGGTACCTAACAGTTGAGGCTGCACAGCGGGAGGAAGATGTGGGCCACCGCTGGACCCCCTTGGCCGAGGGGCAGGGGTGGACATAGCACTGGCATGGCAGCAGAGGCCTGGCGGAGCGCACGGGTGGAAGGATGTCTGCTGCTGAGGACAGGTCCTTTGCCACTCTGTCGCGTGCTACTAAGTCAAGGGCAACTAGAAACAGGAAGACACAGCAGGAGCAGAGAGGCCAGCATCTCCCTTTCCTTATGCCACAGAGCCAGCTGCCAGGTGTGGGCTGCTCCAGTCCTCCCCCGCACAGAACTCCTCAGCCAGGCACTCAAACCAACCGCAGTCCACTGAAGCTAGCCACCCTCCTGAGACAGAGCAAGGCTCATAGGTGAAAACTGCTTTCCACAAACTTCCAAACTTGTAGGAATCAGAATATGATGCGTTTCCCATCTGCGGGGTTCTGCTCCATGGGACAGTAGGGACACTTCAGCCTGCAAAGAGAGAAGAACCAAGAGTGTCTCAGGGGCGGCCAGTAGGAGAGCCAAGCTGAGGTGGAGCAGAGCAGAGGGAACTTACTTTCCTCCATTAATGAGCTTATTGAGTGCGTCTCGGGAGATAACGTGGCCACAGATGAGCTTGATGGGAGGGTTGGAATCCGACGTCTGCTGGCGGAGGATGGGGCAGGCGAACACAGAGTGGTACCAGCACTTCATGCCTAGTTCAATCTCAATCTGGGAAGGGCAGCAAATGGGGTGAGTGCTGCTTCCTGTCACGGCTGTCCTCCCCAGTGCCTCTTGCCCACAAATCCCTGGGCCAGGCCTCACCGGTAACTCGTCCTTGTGACTCCAGACCCCAGTGCACTGCCTCTGCTCAATCACAGCCTTGATGTTCATTAACACGGGCAGTGCCACACAGCCAGAGGCAAAGCTGCAGACAAGGAACAGGGGCTAGAGTGGCTCAGGTCACAGCAGACAGGCAAGGGGGCTAGCATGCCATGCTTCAGCGTGGACCTTGAGACAGGGCTCTGAAGTGGCGCACGGTCGGATCGGTCCTCCAAAATCCCTCACATTGTTCGTAAGGTGCCACATATGTACTTCACGTATGTCTGATGCTAGACTCATTCTAATGTACCCCAAAACTTGAGAACCTACAGGGAAGACTTCTATAGCTCTAGGGGCAGATATCTGCTCATCTTAATGAATGAAAAGTCCTTGGTGTGACTGGGGGACAGTGATCAGTTCCAAAGGGCCCCAGCCGGCCTGTAGGCTGTGCCCTGCTATGTAGTCATAACATATCTTTATAATGGTAGCTACCAACTAGGCTGTTTAAAAAATGGAGGCTGGGGATTCAGTTCTCATGACACTTGCATGGGAAAGGGAGCCTATTGGCTGGAACCTCAGATGTTAAATAGCCTATAAGGCACAGGACAGCTGTCCACTGTGGTGGACTGTGTGGCCCTGGGGTCAGGTCCAAGTGCCCTTTATTCCCTGTGAGGCCTTGGGCAAGTGAGTGCACATCTTGACCCTCCATTTCCTCATCTGTAGAATGGGGATAACAGTGCCTCTCCTCCCAGGGTTGCTGTGAGCTGTGAGAGAGGCGTCTGAGCAGTGCTGAATACATGTTACTCAACCACTCACATCTCCCCTGAAGGCAAGTGGTGTTTAAGTCATGAGGTCATAAGGAAGGCGGGCTGCAGAGGGGTGTGGGTTAGCCGGGTAGGTCTTGCTGTGATCCAGGGTGACGTGCAAGAGAGGCAGGGACTTCGTTCAGGAGACCTTACAAAATGTAAACCTTGACCATGCCACTGACCTCATGGTGACCTCAGGTCATAACTCTTCCTAGTCTCGGTTTAACTATGAAAACAGGTAATTCCCCTCTTGAAGAATGACTAAGAAAGCCAGTTTCGGGCTCTGAAAGCACTGAGCACTGTTTCCGGCACGTGGCAGGGCCCTGGCCAAATGATGATTTCCTTCTCTACCTTCCCACTTGTGTTGCCCTCACGGGGCTGAGTTGTACCTGACACTGAGAGGGGACTCCACAGAAAGCCCCAGCAGGGAACAGGCATCCCGGGTAAAGGTCTCACAGATCTCTGCCCAGTGGCTGTTGTCCAGGAGGTGGCAGTAGGGTGACTTCTCCAAACCCAGCCGCAGGTACACCAGACTGCCCATCATCACCTGGATCTCTACAAGGCAACCAGGGGGGCAGCTCAGGGCGGTGCAAGGCTCTGGGTCCACCCCCTAAGGGGATGGCCAGACTGTGTAGCACAGTATGCTGAGCCCAGCAACTCCCAGGCCCCTGAGCAGACTGAGCAAGGATGCAAACGCCCTCAGGCAAATTTGACTATAAAATCTAGTGGGGAGAGATGAAGCTCCAGGCTGCTTCTGGAGGACTAGAAGAGGCATTACTAACACAGAATCAGGAAAGACCGTGCTTTTCCAGTTTTCTTTCCTCTCCAGCTGCATCAAGGAACAAATAAGTCTCAGGTTGGTGCTAGTGTCTCCACACTAATCTCCATTGAGAGCAACCCCAGGTTCAGAGCTCTCCAGAGGCAGCAGTATCTAGCTAAAACTTAAATCATGGCTTGTTGGTCCATGCACTTTGGAAGGCTGAGGTGGGTGGATCACATGAGGCCAGGAGTTTGAGACCAGCCTGGCCAACGTGATGAAACCCCATCTCTACTAAAAAATAGAAAAAGTTAGCTGGGCATAGTGGTGTGCACCCATAATCCCAGCTACTCGGGAGGCTGAGGCAGGAGAATCGCTTGAACCTGGGAAGCGGAGGTTGTAGTAAGCCAGGATCATGCCACTGCACTCCAGACTGGGCAATAGAGTAAGACTCTGTCTCAAAAATAAATTTAAAAAAAAATAAAATTCATATTTGAGATAAAATTTAAAATAATAAATATGAGCGGAACTAAAGAAATAAGTTAGTACAGGTTACTACTCATTAGCATCTCAACGGTGAGACTTAGATTCCGGGTCTGGAAATCATAGCATGACAGGAAGAGAGCTCAAGTGAGTCTTTTTAATTTTATTTTTTGTAGAGATGGGGTGGGGGCAGAGGTTCGCCATGTTAACAAGGCTGGTCTCGAATTCTTGAGCTCGAGTGATCTGCCACTTGCTTTGGCCTCTGGAAGTGCTGTGATTACAGGTGTGAGCCACCATGCCCAGCCAAGTCTTTTTTTTTTTAAGGGACTTTTCCATAGGCCGTCAAGGTCAGGGAGGCACCTGAGGCAGAGCAGGCAGGACGGGCATGGCATGCTCTGAGTGGTGTGGTGCACGGCAGGCACGAGGACCCCAGGTGGTCTGCACTGAAGGTATAAACTAAAGGGATGACAGAGGTGAGAGCGGAAGGGCCTTGAGTTTAGAGTTCATCCTGGATACAGTGAGGGGTCAAAGAAGTTTCTAGTTGGGGAAAGGCATCTGGGTCACAAGACAGCCCCACATGGGTGCAGGGACTAGAAGCCTGATGTAACCCACCACATCCAGACATCTGTTGGGCCAGGCAGCACAGCCCCAGCCCTCTAGGTACTCACCCCGCTGGTGCAGCTGAGCAAAGGGCTGGAAGTGCCGGGCATAGCTGAGGGCCTCCAGCTGCTTCTCAGGGCCTCCTGCCAGGAGGCGGATGAAGTGCAGTCGGTGCAGCTTGAACTCCAGGGAGCTGTTGAGTTCCAGCAGGCGCTGCCTGTGGGAGACGGCCCATCTGGGAAGAAAGGGGCCAGTTTAGTGTAGAGCTGGTAGGGGCTTGGACCTGAGAGCCAGGACCTGTGAGGAGGGCCCCAAAAGCCTGTGTGAGGCTCTTGAGACAGGGCTGGAGGCAGGTCAAGTACGTCTGGGTGAAGTGAAGACCACAGTCAAGCCCTCTGCCCTGAGAGCTTGGAGCAGAGTGCTGCCGGCCCACCCAAGGGCCTCCTTACTCCAACGCAGGACCCAGGTCTTGTTCGTGCAGGGCTTCCAGGATTCGATTCAACTCCAAGAAAGGCTGCTTGAAATCCAAGTCCACATTCAGCGTTGATTCCTGCAGGGAGAGAGAGACGA